TAACAAACCGCAATTTATTTCGAATAACTCATTAAACTGTCGAAAACTGTGGCAAATGGTTTTGAACGATATATTTATGTACATAATAAAGAAATAGATAAATAATAAATTCTGAAAATACAAAATGCGAAAATTAATTTTTAGAAAATAATTAATTTGAAAGAAAATATTGTATGTGCTTCTCCATTGATAGAAGTCAACACTATGTATCTTCTCAAACGGAATAAATTTATAGTTAGATAAGTTATTTAATTATCAGTTTAATTAAATTTGGGAATGTATGTACATACATAATTTTGTGACTTGCCAAGAAAGGAATACGTGCAATACTAGTGAAGAAACAATTCACTTTTTATAAACCATTCATATATAGTAATGTTAAAATAACCAATTTAAAAACTATTAGTTCACATTAAACTAAGACACATTTATAATAATTGTATGTCATCTACATTTGAAAATATTTAGATTAATAATAAATGAAGTCATTAAATGGCAAAATGAAGAATTTATTAATATCCTTTTACAGGCCGAGCGTACAATAGATTACGTCTATTTCGGCAAGTGGTACAAACACCCTGTATCTTCAGTGAAAGTAGCGCAGATAATGATGATTCGTCGCGCCCAGAAGAAAACTCTTATTCTAGCTGGTGGATTTATGAAAGTTGATTTGGAAACCAGTTTAATAGTAAGTGTCAATCTCATAAGTAGCCTGAATTAAGTTGTATTATTATTCTTTTTTTTTTAAAATAATTTGTTGTCTTCGTATTAGCGAAAATTATAAATTATAATTGAAATATTTTCGATTAAGTCGATATTATGGCGAATGCGCCAGTCAAATATTGAAATTGGTAGCAATCTTGAAAACAAAACAACTAATATTTCATACGTTATCATTTGCTGAACAATCTGACATTGGTTAAATACTGGTTCGAAAATAATGGTAAACAATACGATTTCAAATGTTGATATTTATAATCCCATTGCACTACCCATGAATAAATAATAAATTTTAAATATCAGCATTTGAATACGGGTCTTTTCCATTATATAAAAATCAATATTTAATTACCATTATCAGATTAACAGCAAATTATGACTTATGACATATTGGTGTTGTTTTGTTTTTAAGTATGCTAGCAATGTCATATCCATCTTCGGAAGAAATTGGACCATTTTAATACTTATCACAAAAACCGTCAATAACAGTAATGTTAAAATACCTAGTTATAGGGAAGTGTAATATCGATAGATAGAAAATAATTTTTAAAGCAACTGTAATAAATGATCATCAACAACAACTATCAATATTTCAGCTTGCACGATGTAAAAAATAAGCAACTTTGAATTAGGCTATGGAAAAGCAACTTTTTTTTGATATAATTGAAATATCTCGAAGACCATTACAGATACATATAGGGAAGCTTTATAAAAGTCCCCCTAAAATTACGCGTAGAATCCAAATATGCAAAAATATACAGGGTGTTCCATTTAAAATAAACACGTAGATGGCGACTTTCGGTATAACCGGAAGTGCTACAACAATGGCATTATTTTATTTAAAAAGAGCACCCCCGAAAACTTCAAAGCCTAAATTAAAATTGAAATCGAAGTGCACTGAAATAAATAAGAAAATATTTAATTAATATCTTCATCACTTGGCAGCAAACTGACAAACACGAAATAAACCAAATTACATAACGTTGATATTAGATAATTGATAAATGTTTAACTTAAGTCAAATTACTTTTATGTCATTATCTTTTTATATTTATTTTATTTTTCAGACAGTTAAAACAATGGTATCTTATGCCATGTTCATAAGAACTATGGGAATTAGAGAAAATTAGACTTTGTAAGAACAGTAGTTTTTAGATTTTTCATCGTACTTTATTAGTACGTTCACTCATCAGTTAAATTTGCAAAAATGTTAAGTAGTCAGAACTTTGAATAATGACAAGAACTCTTAAAAAATAAGTATTTCTATTGTCTGTGTTCCCAGTTCAACTTTATATAAGAGCACTCCTAGTCTAAAAAATAGGAAATATGAGAATAATTAATGGAATAGTTCGCACTTCAAAACAAAAGATATCTGTCTAAATGGTAAGTACCTATACCTATTATCTATTCTGTTGTGTTAAAATGCACAAAATGAAGGTATAGTTTCTACGCAATGTAATTTTTCTGTAATTTTTTCATTTAATTTACTAAAAAAAATATACACATGCTGATTTGTTTTTTTTTTAATTTTTTTGAAGTTTTGTCAATAATTTGCTTGATAAAAACACTAAACTTTGAAAATAATGAATGACATTAATTTTCAAATACTTAAAAATTATCCGTCAATACAATTTTTTAATTTTTAAATTTTTGAAAATTTCCTCAGCTCCACGAACAATGAATGTATCAGTTTTTTCTGTTACAAATATGCAATGACAAGAGCAATGAAATATTTGATAACATGATTTGTAACACCGAGATGTGTTTTGTGAATAAAAAGAGACAGTATTCAGTATGGTTTGAAAAATTGTCACGCAGTTTTACAGTGAAATATATAACTGAAAATATTTAATAACGAGCGTTCAAATAAAAACGTGGTCAAGTTGGTTCTAAAAATTTGGACGTAGGGCGTAGCGTATAGCAAATGAACTTAAACGTCATCTGTCAAAGCGCTATATCGCCGCTATCAATTTGAATATTTTCGTTTTAAAAAGCGTTTAAAATGGTGTTTTCTCAAGAACAAAAAGTGTTTATCATAGAGTCCTACTTTAGAAATGGACGCAAGATTGATGGAATATGGAAGTATTCTATTGAGGAATGTTTCATAGAATTTCAAAATCAATTTCCCGGCGTTGTTGAGTACAAAATTTTTCAAAGTGCAGTTCAGCGTTGTGTTAATGTTTTTCGTGAAACGGGCAGTGTAACAAGAAAAGAAGGAAGCGGCCGACCTAAAAAGCGGACTGAAGAATTAAAAGAAAATGTCCAACAAATAATGGAAAATGCGCCAAGAACTTCTGTACGTGTTTTATCACAAATGGTGGGAGTATCAGTCGGTACCTGCCACACAGTGTTAAAAAAAGATTTGCGTTTGTTCTCCTATCGTTTAACTTGTCAGCAAGAACTTCATGAAGTTGATTTTCCGCGACGGGCTGTATTTTGTGAATGGTTTTTAAACAACTACGGTGAACTTCATAATATCACCTTTTTTTCTGATGAAGCCTGGTTTCATTTAAGTGGTTACGTAAACTCACAGAATATGAGAATGTGGTCTTCTGAAAAACCAGATAACTTTTTTGTCGAGGGCCCTCTACACGCTCAAAAAATTGGAGTTTGGTGTGCTCTCAATCGAAGGAGGATTTATGGACCTATTTTTTTTAATGGTACTCTTACTGCGCAAAGGTATAGAGAAGAAATTATCGCTCCTTTTGTTAACCAGCTGGAAGAAAACGAAATTACAAACTTTTACTTTCAACAAGATGGCGCAAGGGCACATACGGCAGGCGAGACGATGAATATGTTGAGGGAAGTTTTCCAAAATCGACTAATAAGTCTCAATGCTGAACATGAATTTCCACCGAGGTCATGTGATATTACGCCGTGTGATTTCTTTTTGTGGCCTTACCTTAAAAACACTATTTTTGAACTGCCTATTCCTGATTTAAACCATCTGCAGGCTCGACTTATAGACAAGATTCGTGAAATTAACAATACCCCGAGCATCTTAGAAAATGTCTTTAATTCTTTGAGGAACAGGTGTGAAAAGTGCTTGGAACAAGGAGGGGGACACTTTCAGCAGCTGCTTTAATTTATTGTTATAACAAGGAGGGGGACACTTTCCGCAGCTCCTTTAATTGTTTGTTATTGTTATCACGATTATTCTTTAAAATAAAGTTATATAGTCATTAACGTTATTGAAACTGACAGCTGCTATACAGCTCGTTGAGAAATGAGGTTAAGTTGGTCGCTATAAGCTACTCCCTACGTCCAATGTGTCAGAGCCAACTTCGACCACGTTTTTATTTGAACGCTCGTTATAATGTTCTTTAATATTGTTCGCCACTTTCTTATGCAAATTTTAGGAAAATCTTTAAATTTGTCACGAAAACATTTTAAATTCTCACTATAATTATCATTCCAGGTAACTTTCCTGATATACTAAAAACAAGACAGAAAATTGTTTTTTAATTATTTATTTAATATGTAACAGGATTGCAGCAACTGTAATAGAAAAATTAAAATTTTCTTTTGACTCTGTATCTATATTGTTATATATCCAACCACTACATTTATCTGCTCTACAGATTTTTTTAAACAAAAGTTTGAATTATTTATACAGATAATAATGGTGTGAATCCTCACATTTGTGTGTATTGTGAAAGTTGTTTGCGTTAAAGCAAGAAAAGAAATTAAGCACCTGCATTTGAATCAATAAATCTATCTATAATGCAGAATACATAATTTCTTTCAACAACATATTAAAGATGAGATAGTACTTGAGTGTGTACAGAAATTAAGTAAAACATTTTAAAGCTTTGCAAAATATTATAACATGTTGACTGAGAACCATTGGGCTCTACTCATGTAAAACAGAAAAAAATATATGTATTTTAAAAAAGATTTTGAACTGTTACTGAAAACCACAGGTCTACAATCTAGAAATACTTACACCGATTTTATATTAATTATTAAGTATTAATGTTTAAGTATACGATACAACTAACAACAAAGAACAAAATCAATTACTTTGAGGATATGAAGAAAATATATACATTCAAAATGTATTAAAGTGCAATCAACCGAGTACATCTTCTTTTGAATCAATATAATGCAGTTGTAAATAATTCATCTGCATAATTTACAACTTTTAAATACAAGATAGTATTAAAGTACATAAATAGAGTTGTTCACATCAACTGTGAATTTCAATGAACCAAGTATCAATCTTGTATTAATACAAAGACTTAAAAACTAATGTATGCATTTTTAGAATAATTTTGAAGATGTATTTGTCGTTATTGTATATACCTCTGACGATGTGCAGGTTTATGGGAGTATATCCAGAAGAAAAGTATAGAACCGGGCAAATATTTATATTTGTCATTATTTTCTTTTGGCAATGGAGCATTATTTATCTAGCCATTTTACATTTGATTTATAAGGACCATATTACCATATCAGATCTAACAACTGTACTTGAGACTTTATTTTTAATATTTCAAGTAAGTATGAGCATTCCACTATCACCATTTGCCTTTGTACTTTATTATAGTAGTTCGACAGTACCTAGAATTTCGAAATTCTGTTTGTGCATCTGTGTATTCAAATCATCAAAGTTCTAATAGTATAGAAAATTTGAATATTCTATGGATATCAAGGACCCTTAAAAATTGCCCTAAGAAATCTCATATACACTATACACTATACATATACACTATACACTATACACTATACACTGTTATCTAATATCAAACTATCCTGTAAGTTCAATTGTTTATTATCTAAGTAAAATAATACATACCTTCCATAATTTTACATTTAAATTATTATTAGGTTATTATTATTAAGAAGTTAGTTGAGCGTTTATGAATGGTAAATATTAAATAAACTATTACTACTATAAATGCAGTAAAATAAATAAGAACATGTTTATTTTACTATTAATATGCCTTCATCAGTTATCAGCAAGATTTATTACACTGGTTAAAAGGAAACGGACCTATTTAACTTTAATAACTAATTAGTTTGATTTGAACGATACTTATTTACCTTTTATGTTTTTTTCATGTGCAGAGACTAAAATAAAATTTGTACTGAAACAAGATCATACAAGCTTGACCATGTCTATGTAACGAACAACGATTAAAATATTACCGACCCTACTACTAAGCCTACTTATGACAACTCAAATACATGGTTAAAATTTCAGCACTTATTTCTGGGACATAGTTTATTATTTTTAAAGTACTATGTTGGTATTTCACTGGCTTTTCATTCATTCATTATACTGAAAACGTCTGTCATCAAGGAATTTTAAATATGTAACTTAAATTTGGTATTTTATTATAGGCGATGATGAAATTGACCATGTTTTTTGTCAAGGAACGCCAATTTTACGATTTACTGGAAAGGATAAATTATTTCTGGAAAGTCGACGATGTACAGGACGAGGTAGAGAAAAAGAAGCATCTGAACTATCTAAAATTGATAAAAAATCGGTCGGCTGTCTACAATATTTGGGCCTCTGCCACGACAGTGGCTTTTCTGTTGAAGCCGCTTTTCGTAAAAGGCGATAATTTGATTTTTACCACTGCCACTCCGACGTGGATTCCATTTGGTGTTATGCCGTTTTATGAAGAGGTGCTATTTGTTTTTGGCGTGCATGGACCTATCGTTGGTATGGACCTGTTCACATTGGCCCTTTTCCTATTGGTGAAGTTGCAGTTTGACATGTTAAACCAAGAAATCCAGCGTATGTTTCAAAATATGAAAGAATCGGAAATTAATCAGAGAATTAAGAAAATCGTAGATCATCATAATTTTATATTAGAGTAAGATTTTGTATTAAAAAAATAAAATATAGGATATAGCCACGCAACCTAAGTGAATATGATATGACCAATTCAAAAGTTATGGGTCAGAACTGGCTAATATAAAAGAGGACCCAAAAATTTTCACGTCTAAATTCGCCCCTACTGAATTCAAGAATTTATTTCTATTTCGAAATTTATTGAAAGGACATTTATAATTAGCCACTTACTATCTGCCAATCTTTTGAAACTACTTTATGTAATTTTAGAGAAGATTGGATTATATTCATTTCAACTTGTTAGGTTTTCTAGATTATCAGTTTCTTCATGGAAAAATTGAATACGAGTAGAATCCTCCCTCTCCTCTCCTAGCAAGGAGAATTCATGTGAAGCAATACAAAAAAAAATTACACAGTCATTAATTTGGGATACCCTGTCTTCATCTCAAAATATTCATCACAGGTTAATAGATGAGTCACTAGACTCTCTTTTCAAGAGAAACTCTTTTTGTAATTTTCTTCGCACATCATCTCCAGCAGCTCTGGCGATCACTACATCAGAAAATGGTTGATTGAACTTAATTTTATATTTTTATATTTTTCATTTCTTGCAACTGTTTTTCTGTGGAGTTACACATTGTTTAAATTACACTTTCTTTATAATTTTCGCTATTTCTCTTCATATTGAAGATACATACTCTTCCAAAATGTTCGCTAATTGTTCGACAGTCAAAGACATTCTGTATATTTCTTCACTGTAAAATTCAATCAACTGTTGTTAGAGACTTTTTGGTATTTTCAGGTATCCAAGTTTGAACTTCTTTGTCCTTGTTTTCTGAGTTGTTTATAATGTTCTACAAAGACCCGCTACACTTTAAAAAATTTATAGCTGCAATTGTTCATTTTCAGTTACGTAAATAGAATAAATAACACGCTGTCTGAAGGCATGTTGCTGTATGTTGTTAACGTACTTCTGGCTATGTGTGTGGAGATGTACATTGCATCAGTACAGTAAGTTTCTACTTACTATCCTAATAAAAAATGAAAACTACATAATTTTTTAGGAAATCAATAATGGCCGCAATCAAAGCAATCATGTATGCATCCACTGGAGTATTGCAATATTGCATCTGCTACTGTCTACCTGCACAGGCTGTAACTGACGAGGTAGTTATGATAATGTTTCATTTCTGTTACATTTTTTTATTACATCAACTTATTCGTTTACAAACATTATTCCGTAATTAATAGTATAGGAGATTTTTGCGCAAATAGAAATTTATGACAAATTTTCTGGATCTCGACGTTTCGTCTCTTTATTGAGACATTTTTAAGACTATCAGAAATAAATAATACAGAATATTGGCGTACATGTTCCCGAGAATAATAATACGAATCTTTTCTTTTAAGTTGAATAAATATACTTGGTTGAGTTAATATCAATTCTTGTCTGCGCCGCCACTACATCGCATCCGGATCGGAGTGGGTATCAATGTTGCCAGTTGTTACCTTTTTAAGCCAACTGTATGAAACTAATTTAGTGGCATTACTTTTTTATCACTTTGCGACATGTTATTTTGATACCAATGAGTACGAAGTGTGTACGAATTTGAGAAAACAAATTTAAGATGTTTCTAAAGGTCAAAGGGGCCTTCGTATAAATATGATATTCAAAGTTACACCCTGTAAGTTTACAAACTTACAACAAATAATATAATATAATTTACAAATTATAATATCATAGAAACAAACTCACATCAATAACATACCAACAAAATCGAAATATTTTTTTCAATAATTTTCTAAATAATGTATTTTACTATCTTTAAACATGTTCGTTCAACTACGTCAAATCTAGTTTTGTGTTAGATTTTGTGTACGTATACCAATTTTTCCAAAGCTTTCAATCGCTTGATCATAATTTATTAACATTGAAATTTGAGTCATATGGTATATCCCCTGCTCTATTATCTCTGTTTAAATATTATTTTAGTAACAGGTACCAATTTGTGCAGTATCGTGGCTTTCAATCATGTAAATTCCATCAATCTTCTGGAGTTCCGCAAGGATCAATCCTGGGGCCAATGTTGTTTGTTATTTTTATTAATGACTTAACTGAATGCCTCGATGTCAATTATTTACTCTACGCGGACGACCTGAAGTTGTTCTTGAAAGTTAAATCCTCTACGGATTGTACTAGGTTACAAGATAATCTTGATAGATTACACAATTGGTGTTCATGTAATAATAATCTACTTCTGAATGTAAGCAAATGTAAAATTATGTCTTACAGTCGACGCAAAACTAATCTAGATTTTGATTATAAAATTGGTCAATCTTTTTTAATTAGAGTTTACGCAATTTACTGACCTTGGTGTTACGTTTGATACTATTAGATTATCGTTTGACGAACATATTAGTTTAGTAACCAAATCTGTTTATAAAAAATTAGGCTTTATTTTGCGTAGTTCTAAGGGCTTTCAGAACGTAAAGGTTCTAAATATATTGTAGGCAGCATTTGTGCGTTGCAAACTTGAATATGCATCGATGTTTGGAGTCCCATTTATAATATTTATAATATTCAATTAGAGAAAGTAGAACTAAGATTTTTAAAGACTATTCATTTTATTAGTTATGGATTTTATCCTCCTCGTGGTACACTTCAAGATTTATTGCCTTCTTGTTTTAATTTTAATAGTCTCTGTCGTAGGCGAATTATGTTTTCAATTGTATTCCTTTTTGAAACGCTTTAAATGCAGACTCGTTTCTCAAGAATTTTATGTCATGTTCTTAGACTTAATTCTAGATTTCACTCTGCTTTACAATTACTCACACCTCGTACCAAATTACTAATAGCATCTCCTCTATATCAAATGATTTCCAATTACCAAAAGTATGAAGATCGACTTGATATACTTTTTCATTCTATGAATGACATACAATAATTGTTTGTCTAGCAAATGTAATTCTTATCTTGTATATGTTATTTAGCTTATTTGTTTTATTTGTCTGTTATTTTTTATACTTAAGTTATTTTGTCTGGATTTCATATTTTATATTTTGATTGCTATATTTTATGTAGTACTTATATTTTTATGTTTAATGTTAGTTTGTCTTTTTGTTTTTAAATTTATTTAAGGTTTTCTGTTTTACCTTATCCTGTAATTGGGACTTTGCCCCGTTGGATATTGTAATTTCTAAATAAATAAATAAATGATTGAGATTTTTAACATGTTTTGTAGGCTGAGCTTACATCAAACTACGTATACTTCAACAACTGGGACAATCACCCTGTATCTTCAGTAAAAGTGGCACAAACAATGATGTTAGCTAGAGCTCAACAACAAACACTTATTTTAGCTGGTGGATTTATTAAATTTGATTTGGAAACGTATCTAAAAGTAAGTATAATTTTTAAAAATTTCAACTCGACAGTAATATGTTTTTCAGACACTGAAAACAATGGTGTCTTACGCTATGTTCATAAGAACTATGGGAATTGGACAGGATTAGACAGGTTGGCGTTTAATTGTGGCATATTAGTATTTATTTCAGATTAATTAACTTCTCTTAATATAATCACAAAATGAATAAAAAATTGCACTAATGACTGTAATTACTCTAGGAAAAAATAAAGCATGAGTTTAAAGTTTGGGTATATATTTTTTACATTCTGATAAAAATTTAGAAAGCCATACTTATTTAATAATTCTTTTCGTAATTAATTATGAACAAAATTGCTAGCCTCGAAACTACTTCTTGAATAAACTTTATCGGTAAACTTTTAAATTTTTCATGTATCTAAAGCCGATAAAAGTAATGGTTCGATGGATTTATGACTAGAATATGACTTTACATCGACGTTAACACTGAATAATTTTTCGTGACTTATTTTGGAGATGTATTTTACTCTCTTTAATATTTGCATTGTAATGTTCAACGGGATGGGTGTCAACTGTCAATCCTAGAAAAGGATACACTATTCCCCAAGTACTTGTATATGTTTTTACCGTCAATTGCCATATGATTATCTTTTACCTTAGCATGTGGCTCCTGGTTTACAATAAGAGTGCTACTATAATAGACGTAACGAATACGCTGAAAACATTTTTTTTAAATCGTTTCAAGTTTTTACAAACAATTATGTGTTTAATTTGTGAATCAGTGTCAAAGACCACTGACGTTAACTAACTATGCTAATGTCACTACGTAAAGTGGATATGGACACATTTAGGACAGTTAAAACAGATAATTTCAAAAAATTTTAAAATTCTAAACAAAATAGTACTCTTTTTTTTCTTATTCAACCACTTCACAAGTGAGATATATTAAATTAATCCAAAGTAAGCAAAAACGCAACAAAATTAAATAGTGAACAATATAAATTTAAGCAGAATCCGATCCTGTTCCGAACGCTTACGAAGAGCAACAGAGGTCAGCCTCCGGTGTTCTGTCAAAATTCCGTATTGCCGCTTCTTAAGAGCCCCTACTGCCAGTTGACTTCACACCTAGTATGATTATGAAGGGATGATAAACGGGTAAAAACGAAATTGCCACAAATTCATTCACGGTACAGTGTATTTTCAAGTATGTCATATGCTGTAGAAATGAGGCGAGTAAACATATTATTTAATGACTTTTGTGTATTTTCTTCTTAATAACCCTTCCATGAATTTATGAGATCTGACAATAATGCATACCGCAGCTCCCAAGTGTGCATGCACTGCGACTAACGCGTTCCATTGTTTGAGGTCACACTAACTTGTCCAGCGACGCGGTATGAGAATAAAAAAAAATCAGTTTTTACCACGGAATTTGAGAAATTAAACTTATCATACGTCTTTCTAAAGGTCAAAGGTAGCCTCCGCATAAATATGAGCTCCACTCGAAGTTACGCCCTGTATGATGTTGATACACTTTGATACTTGTTTTTATTTTAAATTTTAAAAAATCGGTTACATTCGTATCTGTTATTGCAATTGAAATATTATTAATATATATCAAATTTCTTTTTGCAATATTCACAATGTTACCCAATCCTCAAAAGATATATATACGTATTTTCGAATACATAGAAGTGATTTTTGGTTTAGTTTTGAAAAAAAAAACAGTTTTTTCTAATTAAAGCTCGTGGAAACGACTTGTGCGCTAGAGAAATCAGAAAATATTCGAAATTTGCGGAAGTAAATTCAGCGAGTGATTGGGTTGTGCAATTTTTGCAATTAGTTTTTAAATTGACATTTGAAATGAAGGTGGAAACCGCGATCAAAAAATAAAGGACAATTTTGTTTACATTGTGAATATTGTAAAAAAAAATACGAAAATATTTATTTTCAGTTTCTTTATGTTTAAGTATTTAACATTTTTATGAAGAAAAATGGATTTTTACGAAAAAAACGTTTTCAATTCAAAAGAATATATAAAAATTCAAAATTCACATTTTAAATGATTTTTACAAAAAGTGACAATTTCAATCCATCGGATCATAATGAAAAAAAAAAAAATCGCAGCAGTTTGAACTCTTGCATGAGTTGTTTTGAGATTCTTCGAAGTTGAAAAAAAAACAAAAATATCCTGTTTGTTCATCATTTGTACAGTTATCTCAAATTTAAGAAAAATCTTTAAATACGCAATATTTTACCCCGTTTTGATTCAAGTTTCAAGTTTTTTATCAAAAAAACGATAAGAAGTCTTATAGACGATACTTATTTGAAGTTTTCAAAACCCTTCTGTACGATCATTACTTACCAAAGCCAAAAAAGTTCCTTATCAGCGACAAATCATCGTCCAAAACTCTTAACAGCTCAAATTCGAAAGTTGATAGGTGAGATTGCCAAAAAAAATGATTGAAGTCTTGACCTTTTGACATTTTGAAAGGGAAGCAAAAATTTTTAACATTTCTTCCGCTGGATTTTTTACAATTTCTCGAAGGTGATCAACGATAAAATTTTTTACTTTTAAATCATGAAATTAGAAACTTTAAGCTTCAATTTGCTTTAATTTTTATTGCTCCACGACTAATCTTATCTTTTAATTTTTGTGACTAGATTATACACATTTTCGTGCCACCAATGTATATTAGAAATTGTGACAAAAATTATAAGTAAAAAATTAATTTTAATGAGTTTGAAACGCATGTTTTACTTCTGCCCCTACTTTATTTTTCTTTCAGTTTTTTAAACAGAATAAATAACGTATTTTCCGAAGGGTTGTTTGTATACGTCATTATCATCGTTTTGTCCATGTGCGTCCAAATGTACATTGTATCGACACAGTAAGTTATTTATACACTGCAATACCCCGATAAAAATTTGTACTAAACATCCTTGATATTTTGTAGGCATTCACTAATAGCATTAATGAAATATGACCAATGGACTAGCTCAATATATTTTCTGTTGCTGCTGTAATGAACCTGTTTTAATTTTGATTTTTATTAGGTCTGAATTTAAAAGTATTTATTTTATTTCGGATTATTTTACCCCAGCGGCGAGAATTATTGATTTTTCTACATATATATCAAATATCCACTCGCGGGTCCGACCGGCCGATACCCCACTCTGACAAGCCGTTGGTCACGTGGAGGTCCCACCACGACTGGTGTCAATCCGGTGGGGATTTGGGCAACAAAAGTCCTCGACATTCCCCGAAACCGACAGTTCGTATCCAGAACTCAACACCGAACAGACGTCCACCGCCAGCAAGAACTCTCCACCGAAGCCAGCCCAGAATAACCAGTGAACCTAGTAAGAATTATTTTCCTTATTATTATCCGTTCCAACCGGGTACAAGTCCGAAAAGATTTGTACACTTTAAGTGTGGAATTACTGTGGGCCCGAGAAGAATATTCTTGGTAACCCACACACAAATTCCACCGTCCGTCTCAACCCGCACGACAGTGCAATCGTTGGATTCGGCGTGTTAAACCCAATCCTGACGAAGCCGTCGTGTTTACTACAGCGTTGCTTGGTGTCCCGCACCTTGATGTACGCTGGGTAATAGGGGATATGTGAACCAAGACCTAGAGGTTCGGCGTGCCCACCCAATCTCCGGGTCGTTCCATATAGTATCCGTACGCTTCTCCCTGGTCGGCGTGTATACCCATCAGACCGAGAAGCGTTGTATACAGAGAGTCCGACACCATCGGCCACCAGGACGTATAAAGCTTAAAGGCTAGTACGAATTGTAAGGCGAGATACTTCGGATCCCGTTTCACCATCCTATCTTTCCGCCTTGCACCGCTTGGGCTTTCTTCGCTGGTTATTGCTATCGCTTACCGCTTACCGCATTCCGCTTACTAATTTTGCATTGCTTGCTAGGCCATTATACCGATATTTGACCGCCCGCCTGTTTAAAATAAGTCCGAAATAATTCCGAATAAATTTTGGTTTATTTTCAGAATCAGCGGGGACCAGTAAAAAACGTCTATAAATATTTTAATCAGACCGTCTAAAATCACCTTTTCCTTTGTACATAAAAACCGTCTACGATTGTAGAGTAATAAATATTTTATTTCGATCCCGTTTACAAATATTTATTTCTTTTCTAAGGTGATAAGTAAAATGGTAAAAAACCCAGAGTCATAACTTTTTAATTTTGTCTCTTTCACACTGAATTTGTATATAATTATTGTTAAGAAACTTGTAAATAATTTCAGTCGTTTAGTAGTGGGTAGGAATAAAAATTGACACTATATGTATTTGTAATAAGTATTAATATTTTCCCTGTGTGAATAAATCTAGTAAAACTTAATAGGTTTATTTCTTTCACCGTCGAGGTAAAACGATAACATTCCGAACCAGCAAAAACGCTGATATCGTTTTGTAGAGCTCCCGTTAAATTTCATAGTTAAAATAAAACTACACTGAGAAAACTACTCTCTGCCGAACTCTCTGCCGTTTTCTCCTAAAAGAAATTCATTGACCCCTGGAATTAATTTTCTTCACTGTAGCTACCTGTGCACTTTACTCTAAACCGAGGGTAAGGGATACGTGGAGTTTCCCCCACGTCATATTTTGGGAAACTGGCGCCCGAAGATAAAACCGAATATTTAAATTATTAACTAACGTCATCGTTTAGAGTCCAGTCCGAGGAATATAAAACCGTTCCGAAAAATTAAATTACAGGGGGTGTACACACAATAGTTAAAAGTAATAAAAATTTACACCGAACCATCCGGAAAGAGAGAACCGAGGAAAAGTGCGTCACACTGCTTACCAGCACAAACCGTATCTGAACTAGTCAGAAGAGTCAATAATAATGTTGTGTCTTCATTTTTCAATATTTCTGTGATGAAATCTAAAAGAATTATAACTTTTATTTTTAAGGCGGATCGTACAACACAATAAGCTTATTTCAGTAGATGGTACGAGAATTCATCTTCAGCAAAAGTAGCTCAGTTGATGATACTCGGAAGAAGTCAGAGGAAAACACATATTTTAGGTGGTGGAATTGTCAATATTGATTTGGATAACTGTCTGAAAGCAAGTATCACAATTTATTGACATTTATTACTTAATGTTTCCTGCTTTTATGAAA